GGATAAGGGGGATTCTGGCTAAACCAACCTAACAGGATTCTTGCTGAAGGCAGGCCTGGGTGATCAGATGTCATGTGGGAGATGGTGGAAGATGAGGAATCTGATCAGATATGGAGTTGCTAAACTGACTTAGCAGGGTTTTTTTTGTTTTTGTTTTTTTTACTGAAATGGCACTTTATAAGAAAGTACACAAGAGAAGGTTCCAGAGGCTGACTGCAGTCTGGCCAAGCAAAGAATGTGCCCCTGCCTTTCCTACTAGTTTAGTTCACAATAAGGGGTGTGCTTGGCTCTCCTACCTATTGGCTTGGGACACTGGCTCAGGGCGGGGATAAGTATAGGGAAGGGAGTTGGAGGCCTAGCCTTGGAGCCTCAGGGCCCTACAGGCCTGGGCAAAATGACAAGGCCCACCCTGTCAAGAGCCCAGTGCTTCAAAGGATGGGAGGTCAGTGTCTTCAGTTTCTCCTCCAGGGACCTGGGGGCAGCTTGGGAACGTTTTTTATCCAAGTTCAGCTTCCCAGAGGACAGCAAGATGACACTCTGCTACAGTCCCCAGAGGCAGAAACAGCACAATGTGTGGTTTATTTCCCAGCCTCCAACTTGTTTTTCCTTTTCTTTGTGAAGGAATTTCCCTCCTGCAGTAATTAATCCATGTGGGCTGAGTCCCGGCTGCAGAGAAGTCTTGGTCTATGAGAGCTCCCCTGCTTAACAACCAGCCAGAGGAGGCCTGACTCACCACAGAGGCATGCGGCTCTCCATGTTTGCGCCAGTGCTAACGGGAGAACATTCTCCATTCCTCTCTCTCTTTTTTTTTTTAAACAAACTACACTTTGTCTATTTTAAGATAAACAAAATATTTAAGGAGGTTCTTAACCAGCACTTGCACAACCACGTTGACTGGTTTACCATTAAACTCTTTTATTCTCCCAATCCCAATATCTAAGTTAGGATTGTCAAGTCGTTGCTCCCATTGCTCGGGATTAGTTCCATGCCACAGAGAAACCCAACTCCACATCATATGACATTTATGGATTGAAAGGAAAAGGAGCATGACTGGGTTTTTCTTCGTTTTAAAATACATGTGCAACTTATTAAATCCACAAGTAAAGCAGGGGAGCTGAAGAGCCTTTCACTGCAGTTTCCTGTTGAGCCCTGATCTGCCTGTTTTGGTGGGAGACTGATTTTTTCCATGAAATACAAGGCAATTTCGCCACTACTGTGGCACCATCATTTTGGCCTATTCATAGCAATAGTAATATGAAAGAAAGAAGGTTCCGGGTTCAGTGTCACCTCCTTTTAAGGAAATTGGCTGTGGTCGGACTGAGCTGTTCCAGTCCTCCGTGGAGGAGGCCAAGTCATCATTCCCAGTTTTTCACAATAATCTGTATCCAGGCAACACAGCAAATTGGCCCAGCCAGGCCTGCCTAGGAGTTCCTGCAGGGCTGGGGCTTGCCCATAGGGAATGACTCCTTTGATTTATAGTTAAAGTTCTTAGAAGTTGTAACTGTTGGCATTTTATCTCAACCAGCCTAGCTGTGACAATATCTCTGGGATTGTAGTTTTTTAAAGCTTCCATCCAAACACATCATCTTTACTTCAGGGAGAAAAAAAAAAAATGTAATTTCTTTTACACGTTGCCCACCAACAAAAGCATCAGAATTTTATGATGAAAACCACAGCTTTTTAGAATGGGACCAAAGGTTTCTAAAAGAAGGAATGGAGGTTAAACTTTATAATTGGCTTCTTTTTTACTTTACCCCGTTCCTGGTCAGTGATCTGTTGCTACTGTCTCATGGGAAAGCAAAAGCAGAACATACTGGTTGAGTCAGATTGAAGGTTATGAAACCATTCAGGATCATAAATGATCAGCAGAAAGGCTCTGTGTTCTAGGTAAGCTTGTTCTCTCTGGTTAACCACAAGCTCCACCATTCCCTATTGTCTTACATAACGCTGAGTGTGTTCCACATTTCTATTATTGGCCTAACCTTTTCCCCTGACACCCTATGTGAATTAGTTTTGGTCTACAGCTTTATAGGCCAATATTCTTGAAGGCAGAAACCCTTCTTATCATTTGGGGTTGCCAAACACATTTTAGGAGGATCCCCTTCCCGTAAATTAGACAGGAAGAACTTCAAGATAAAGAACTTTTAGAGCTGAAAATTATTTACTTCCACCCACTAGTCTGCCAATAATGAAGTGGGCTTAAAGGGATGAGTCACTTAGGCAGGCCTCAGAGAAAACTGGAACTCAGAAAGTTAGAGCTAAAGCAGGAATTGTTCTTGACCTGGGGGTAATTTTATCCTCTAGGGAACAACTAGCAATGTGCTAGTTGTTGGTCACAGCTGGGTAGGGGCGCTATGGGCTTCTAGTGGGTAGAGGCCAGGGGTGCTGCTGAACACCTGCAAAGCACAGGACAGCTCCTCACTGCAAAAATAAATAAATAAATAAAAATTTTAAAAAATTAATGGGTTCAAAATGTCAGCAGTGCCAAGGTTGAAAATGCTAGACCAGAGGCTGGGGAAATAGTTCAATGGTAAAGCACCTGCCTAGCATGCGTGAGGCCCTGAGTTCAATCCCCGTCGCCACATTCAAAATAAACAACAACAATAAAAAAATGATATTAAAAAAAAACAAAAAGAGCCATTCATAAAAAAATAATAATAATAAGCTGGTTGAATCCCAGGCCAGGCCTCTTTTCTTTCCGCATGCTACGTGGTTTGTGCTAAGATTTATTTACTGCTGATCTAGAGAGTTAGGTCATTTTGAGTTTAGCAAAAGCAAATCAGTACATGTTCAACTGTGCAATGTCATTATCTTGATCAGAGTTAGGCTATGAATCATGCAAATGAGAGGAGTAAAGTCATGTTTGTTTCGGTGTCTTTCAAGGCGAGCATCTCGTTGAGACATTTGACAACAGCCAGATGACTTTTTAAAACATATACTTTTCACACTTCCTTCTTCTTTAAAACTAAGTTAGCCAACCCCATGGCTCTATTTTATTTTATTTTATTTTTGTGGCGCTGGCAATTCAACTCAGGGCCTCATTCCTGCTAGGCAAGTGTTCCACGGCTGAGCTATGTCCTCAAAGCTGACTGTTCTATTCTAACACCATAGAGATATTCTGAAAGCATAGACAGCAATTCTAGCCCTCTGTGGGGCCAAGGGAGAGATATTATGGCTCTCACCTTGTGTTGGAGGAACACTTTGTGGAGTAGCCAAGGAGAAAAAAATACTCTAAACAATATACCGAATGAATAGACTCATCTAAAAAATACTCTGTAAAATCACCATCAATTCTCAAAATTGCCTGGCAGATTTAATTTCTGTGTTGACTTGAAAAGAATGAATAATTCACTTTTATTTCTCCAGAGACAATTTTTTTTCTTTTCTGTTGCTAACCACAGACTGGGCTTATCAGATGAAAATCTGTCACAGTTGTTGAGCACCATGTGTAGTTCTCTGTATAAGAACATGCCCTCTTCCAAGAAACCATAACCACTGGGTAAATGGAGTAGAACAGCTCTGTAGCAATTTCCTGGTTTGTGCAATAAAGTAAATCTCTTCAGAGAAAGTGAGATCACTGAATATTGTGGAGTCACTGATGTATGTGATTGGGTGACAGACCCCAGTTCTACAACCTAGACCTTCTTTTGAGGTCTGAGTTGGAAAGAAGAAAATGGATTTATATTTGTCACTTCAAAAATTAGGTGCCCATGTTGATATCAACTTTCACTTCCTGATTTTTAAAGAAACTGTTACAAATTTTAAGATAAGTTATTTCTCTGCAAAATGAAACTTTCCTGATGATTAGTTTTGCCCCAAAGCCTAAAAGTTACATAAAAATACTCAAATATAATTCCATCACCCTGGATTTTTTTTTTTAATATGGAGAATCTCTTCTATCACTTTAAGGGCTCAATGTTCATTTTCTATTTTAATGTTAAAAATTTCCTGTTCTATCTCATTTGCTATGTATTAGTGTAAGTGGTTGCAAAGGTAGCAAGGTCTCAGTAACATGAAGACATTCTTACTATTCCTTTTTCCTTTCTCAGTGTCCACACTGAGATGAAAGCATACCCCTGGGCTCCCTGGCCTTTCTGACTGCCTTCCACAAAGTGAACTTCTTCAACTCTCCTACTTTGATTCCCATTTCAGGTTACATCCTTTCCATTACATACTATTCTTCATGGTTATGATTGTATGGTTGACCATCTCTCTGGCGATGTGTTCTATACATTTTCCAGTCATGTGCCTTACTATAAAAAGGTTTCAGATATTCTTTAATTATTATTTTTTCCTTCACCCTGTAAATATCTTTAAAGAACCTACCACGTCCCAGGTAATTGGGTTAGAGTAGTGGACAAAACAGGAATAATCCGAGCCTCTAGGAAGCTTCACTCCAGGGAGAGGGACACAGTGTGTTTCTGTTGCAATATGTACCATGGAGATAGGTGGGTGAGGAGTAGAGGTTCAACCCAGGCAGAGAGAATGGTGCACACATCCGAATTGGATTGCTATTCCAGTATTCATCTACTGTGGGGTAGCAAGTTATCCCCATCAGTAATCCACCAACCTTTCCTCAAAGTAGACATTCTGAAGGTCTATGGGGTGGGATGGGTGGGGAGAACCATACATTTTCATAGTGGGCAAACTTCTGTGAGTCCTTTTAAATTCCCATTACAGAGGAATACTTCTTTTCTTACTGAGTTTTGTCTTGCTGTTCTCTCTGGCTCTGTTGGTCTTTCCTGATGGTCCATCTACATTGGTTATGACTATTGGAATTTCATAGGCATTATAATTAGACTCTTGAACTGACTGTTTGTTATGGAGAAGTGGTGGCAGATATGTCATGTTTACTGCAGAAATACCTTGGCCCACATCTCATTATGAGTTGATTTAAATGGTAGCAATGAATAGCAGGGAGCTGGGAAGGGGTCCCATGATCCAATGGATGCCAGCCCCCTGCTTACACCACTGCCTGCTTTTTTTTGTTTCCCCTGCAGATTAATTGGCACAGCTACCGTCTCCCTGAAGGACCTCTCTGGAGACCAAAGCAGATCACTGCCCTACAAACTCATTTCACTGCTGAACGAAAAGGGACAAGACACTGGGGTGAGCATTTCCCTCTTGTTGAGAGGTATCCATGTGAGATGGTTAAGCAAAAGTTCATTCAGAAAAAAGCATGGGTTGACAATTAGCTCACTACAGTAAAAGCAGAAATCTGGTTTTGAGGTAAATGGGTTCATTCACATACCACCTCTAATGGCCTTGTCCTCTATTTTCAGTCACAGAACTAGAAACTTGAGATTTGAGGGGCTGGGGATGTGGCTCAAGGGGTAGCTCGCTCGCCTGGCATGCGTGTGGCCCGGGTTCGATCCTCAGCACCACATACAAACAAAGATGTTGTGTCCGCCGATAACTAAAAAATAAATATTAAAAAAAAATTCTCTCTCTCTCTCTCTCTCTCTCTCTCTCTCTCTCTCTCTCTCTCTCTCTCTCTAAAAAAAATTAAAAGAGATTTGATTTTCCATAACAGAATTCTGTAGAGTGAAAGGGACCTCTCTGGGTTTGGCTTTGTGCTTATCCATGTGGACATTAGTATTTGTGTGGCATATTCTGTGTATCAGACAGTCCCTAAAAGGAGTGTAAATCATGCGTATTACCTTGAAATATCATGATCTGTATTATTGTTTGGGTAGCAATAATAAAGTTTGTTTTCTGATCCCAGCCTCTCTAAATAGGTACATATAGTCTGATGTCCAATCAGAATTCAAATATGTTTTTTAAAAATCAGCTTCATGTGGTTTACTAACCAGTGCTCATAGAGCGACCACACTCAGCCCATCACCTCTAACTGCTTTATTTCCCAATGAATTTATTTTGCTTGAAAGCCTGGGCAAACGGAAAAATGTATACATACCAAGAGAGGGTATCTCTCTAGGCAAGAATACAGGTTAGGCTTCTCAACATCCATGAGAGTGTCAATTGTGCTGGTCTGGTCTCCGAAATGACCAGTTTTCTATGATTCAATATTCTGATCAGGAAACATAAATTCAAAATGTCATCTGACATCCAACTACCCAAAACCTAGCTGAGAGAAATGATATTGAGGAAAGATGGTTGCCAGTGATCTTCCTGACTTCTTTTCATTTCTTAAAGCGTGGAAGAAAGCACATGTAGAAAAATGGCAGAACTGCTGTGGTTGAATGGAGTAGGGAATGTGAAGGCCTAGAGCTCTGCCCCTGAGATCCCCTAATCCTGCTGGAGTCCTAGAGCACATCTGGGCATCCAAAGGCTATGTGGACCACAGCAGGAAAACAACTGAGCCAGCAGATGAGCTGCCATGTGATCTTCTGGGTTTTGATTCTTTAGACTAAGTTTAGCAACCGAGCCCCTCCGTGTTCCCTGTGTTTGACCTTGGTGCTGTGGCCTTGGTCTTGGTAATAGCATAAGATGCTGCTCTTACAATCCTGCTACTCCCCCCCGCCCCCGTCCAGGTTACTGGGGTTGAAACCAGGGCTACATGCATGCACTGAGCTATATCCCCCACCTTTTGATTTTATTTTGAGACAGGGTCTTGCCAGGCTGGCATCAGACTAGTGAAGCCTCAACCTCCCGAACTACAGGATCACAGGCAGCCCTACACCCAGCTTCTGATGATTCTTTATTTGCTATAGGGCTGTGGACGTGCATATTTTTAAACTCCAGTATCTCCAAGATCAGTAGTTCTTTTGTTTTGTTTTGTTGGTACCAGAGATCGAACCCAGTGTTGTTTAACCACTGAGCCACATCCTCAGCCTTTTTTAAACTTTTATTTAGAGACAGGGTCTCACTGAGTTGCTTTATGGACTCCTTAAGTTGCTGAGGCTGGCTTTGAACTTGCAATCCTCCTGCCTCAGCCTCCAGAACCCCTAACATTACAGGCATGTGCACCCTGTGTGACTCTCTAGATCAGTAGTTCTAAGTCAGTCCATCCATGATCTCATTCATGAAGGAATATTCACTGAGAGCTGTCCAAGGAAAAAATAAGAGCAATGCAATGTATGTGTACATGCATGTGTACAAGCATGTGTGTGTATGTGTGTTTGTGTGACTTTGTGTGTTCATGAACATGCACACAACATCTTTATTTGCAAAGAACTTCCTCTGTTCTGAGGTTTGTTTTTCCCTGTTTTGGGATTACAATGCCTTTCTTTTATGAAATGACTGTGATAGTAAATGGTAGTTGTGAGCACATGTTTGGCCAAATAAAAATTAGCAAGCCTGTGCTGATTTCCCCTAACATACTTTTTTTTTGAAATTTTGTAGGTCTATGAAATATAAAAGTAAATAAATTCTATCCTAAAATAATATCCCATTGGAAAATTTTTTTCTGAGATTTTTATAAGCAGGAATAACTTTATCTCCTGTATGGATCTAATATATTTCCTTCTTTCTGGTAATGAAAGTTACATAAAATGTTGTTTTCCTACTTGCTTAGGATTTGGGGATCATGGTTTAAGTGAGAAGGCTGGCAATTATGTTGAACTTTATAATCTGCATACTTGCTTCCTCTACTCAGACTAGACTTCCCTTTTTTATCCTATTTTATGAATCATGTTATTATATGCATTTTTATTGGACCCTTAAAATTCTTTTTTTTTAAAGAGAGAGAGAGAGAGAGAGAGAGAGAGAGAGAGAGAGAGAGAGAGAGAGAG